GTATGGTTAATCCAATAACGAAAATTCGTAAGGAGACTGAAGTATGCAACTGTGAAATAAAAGATCATTTTTTTAAAGAGATTCGATTCAGAATTAATATATATCTAAAGTCTAACATTAGAATAATTTCAGAGGTTTTTCTTGACTTTATCCGCATTAATGAACTATTCGAAATTCCTTCGTTTCACCGTCAAGGCATCTTGAAAGTGAATCATAATGAATATGATTTCTATCTAGTGTGTCATATGAAATATATGATAAAGTTTGAGTGCTGGAGTATTTTTATTGATCGGTCATGTCATATAAGTTTAATTGGGACATCTAATTGCTTCAATTTAAATTATCCGTAAGATGACTTATATATTATATAAAAAAATAGACAATCAAACTCATTTCTCGATTCAATTTTATGGAACAAAATAAAATTTTTTTTCTCACATAGATATTTTTATTTGATCAGTTGATTTATAATCATTTAGAATTGGAAAAAATTACAGCACGATCTATATGGTTTGCAAAATATAACTAGTTTATCCATATCTTTTAGGAAATAGACTAAAATATCCTTACAGTTTATTTCCATCAGACTATGAAGTTCTTTCGTTCAATTTTTACACCTTTTTCGTTAAGTACTTTGTGAAATGATGAAAATACATTTTTTTTATTTTTAAAAACAGAAGGACAGATTAGTTGTATTTTTTCAAACCATAAGGACTGCACTATAATTTTTTTGGTATAATATTTTAGTATCTTTCCTTTAACCTTTATGTTTTCTTGTTGACTTAGTAGAAAAAATGCAAAAATTGGACAGAAAGACCTAATAGTCAACAGAAGCAAAATATGGGGACAAATTAGTATATTTTAACAAAGACAAGGACGGATTAGTTGTATTTTTCAAACCATAGGGACTGCATTGTAATTTTTTGGTTATAATATTTTAGTATCTCTCTTTTAACCTCTGTGTTTTCTTGTTGACTTAATCGAAAAGATACAAAAATTGGACAAAAGGACCTAATAGTGCAACGGAAGCAAAATATAAAGACAAATTAGTATATTTAAAAAAAAAAGGGACAGACTAATTATATTTCGTAAATCACAGGGATCATATTATAATTTTCCCTTTAGAATTAATAAATAACTATCAAATATTTTGAAACTAATAAGTGAGAATTAAATATTGTTATAAAAAATTATATTCTTTCATTAATAACTAACTATATTCATTATAATGGTTTTTTTTTTCAATTTGATATTTTTATAAAAAAATTATAAAAAATTCTCTTATGGAACTGAATTTCATTTTTAAATCATTTACCTATGGATTATAGCTTAGTTGGCAGTGCAACTTGACAATATGAAAATAGCTTTTGGGTTCGATTCCTACTAAACACATCTGTTGGGAGGAACAAAAAATCTTAACTGTGACTAAGTCTCGAGCCGGATTAGACGATCCCTAATAATAGCCGGCAAAGTGTGATTTGTATATCTTAAAAAAAAAAGTTTTGAACGCAGAAAGCATTAATAAAGAGTGTCACAATCTAATTATTTTGGTTGCTAATCTTAATTAATTAGGTGTCATTATATTTTGGAAAAATAACAAGCTTCAACTTGTCCAACTCGATCTGATCTGGCTGTAAACATTTATCAGATTTCGTTGTCTAAAGTTCTTATCAGATTTCGTTGTCTAGAGTAGAACTTTGGCTTTATTTATTTCTGCGAAAAAGGTATCGGTAGCTGCGCGACGCTGGCCATAAAGGACTTTCGCACTCTCTAATCTCTAGTGTCTAGTTTCAACTCTCAACCTCCAAGTTGCAAAACGTTGGACCATTTTCTCTTAATTCATCTAAATTCAAACCCATAAAAAATTCTATCTCATAGGTATAGTTCTGAAAATGAACAAAGAATAATATAGATAAAGAGTAATAAGAGCTGAATCATATTATTATCATTATAAATATGAATAAATTTAAGTATTCATGCGTAGAGAATGGTGTGTGTTTTTATAAAGAATGCATATATCCTTTGTTTCGAGCCAAAAATATAAATTTAATGGCCAAACGGCTAACTCGGACATTTAATACATTCTTAACCGAGCATTACAAAATCTTTTGGGTACATGACGCTCAATATCATTTTTTTATATATGGCAAAAATTTTAGTATATTCACGTATAAGCTCCTAGAATATTTATTACAGTATATCACTACCCATTTAACTTTTCATGTATTCTATTAGTCATCGTGTTTCTTGATTATTGGGTAGGGACAAGAATTGTTTACACTTAGTTGTATAGATCATGCTATTGAATGGTAAGGAATCAATCTTTAACTACTAAAACCGCAGTCAAACCGGAATTCCTTCCGGAAACTGTTGAATAATTTTTATATATGGCAAATTTTTTCATGTTTTTTTTTTTTAAGTAGCAGTACCCCTTTTTTTTTTTTAAAAAAAAAAAAAAAAAAACTCTTGAACTGCATGTTTAACCAGCTGGTTCATTGCAATTACTATGTCATCGTCATAATCCTTTGCTATATTAAAACAACCAATTGAATTGGCAATTTCACTTATACTCAAAATATCTCTCCACCTTAGACATTCGATTTTTAAAATATTCAAAATCGATATGAGATTGAGAAATTATTTTCTAAACTGTATTTTTTACTCTTCAAACCACAAAATCTATGATGTAAATTTAATGTATTAAAACTAAGTTGATTATGTATTTGTAGCTATTATTTTTATGTTGTAAATTGTCAAATTTAGTTTCAAACTGGTAGTCTCCACGAAAAGCTAAGATCAAATAATTAACAATCAATTACACACGCAATCAATTAATTACTATAATTTAATAGATTAAAAATCAAGACTCAAGAGTCAGTAAAATTACAGTTCCCAGAAAACAACTAAACAGTAATTAACTGTGGCCAAAATGATCCCATCGAACCACCTCTTGCACAGGAACCAGAGAAGTGGTGAAGATACTGACCCGTTGAGAAGCTTCTACAGCCATATTAGTTAAGCTATAAGCCACCCTGTTTGCTTCCCTGTAACAGTGTCTCAACTTCACCTAAGGGTGTAACTTGGACCAAAATATTTCAATTCAAATCAAAATTTCAAACCAAATATTAATTTGGAATGGAATTTCGGAATACCGAATTTAAAATGGAATGTAATTTTAAAATATTGATATATGGAATATGAAATGAAAATAAAAAATAAAATTTCATATTCCAATCCATATACCGAATTTTTATTTCATTATTCTTTAGTTTGTAATTATATGTTTTAAAATAAAATATCTTTCATTTTTGTATTGTTTAAGAAAACTTCTATATAAAATATTTTAACCCTAACCCTAATTAGTAATTAATATATACTATGTGCTCGAATACTCATATATACTTTTTTGGGTCAAAAAGTATGATTTTAGTTATAATATCTTACTTTTTTTTTATTAAACTATATGGTTTGAAATATTTTAAAATGCTTAGACTCATAGTATATATTTTTGTGGATTTAACGCTTTTTAATGGATTTAGTGAGTACATATAATGATATATCCTAATAATAATGATATTATCTTTTGTTGATTTTATAATATTATTATTAATTATTAAGTTGTTAATTATATGAACTGAATTATTAAATATTAAGGGTGAAATATATGAACTGAATTATTAAATATTAAGGGTGAAATATACTTATTATCTATATTAAATATTTTAAGTTTTAGTTATATCTGATACTCCTTAATTTATTATTTTTAAAAATTTAATTATGTCTTTTTTTTTTTTAACTTATTGGAGACTTTTATGAGCCGAAATAATTATGTCTTTTTAGTATGTATATATAAAAATATGGTGATTATTCCTTATTAAATTTAAAAATTGACATGTTAAAAAATATTATTATGTTAGATTTGTATTATGGTTAAAAAATTTCAAACTATTGAATTCCAAACTGAAATTCAATGAAATGATATAAAGTAAAAATTTAAATTCTAAAAAATATTTGAAATGTAATGAAATGCAATTTTAAATTTCATGGAATGAAATGAGAGCCATTCTATTCGTGGTCATTGTACTGGCGTATTAATTATGATAGGTCTCATTTATTGTCTAATGCCAAGTGGACCCATCTGTGAAGTGATAATTTTTTTAATTTTTTTAAAAAATGAATTACTCAATTCTACAAAAAAATAAAAATCATCAATTAAATTACCCTTGAATTAAATCTAGATATTTAAACAAAGATAAAGTTAAATCAAATAAATAATGCTATTTTAATTTTTTTATAAAAGTATCATCTAAATAGAGAAAAATATTTTCTATAAAAATATGATATAAATAGAGAAAAATAAAAGTTGAGAAACTGTGAAGTATAAACTAAGGAGAGAGTAATAGCTATCATAATTTTCAAAAAATAAAATAAAATAAAATAAAATAGCTAAAATAATATCTAAGTGGCCATAAAAGACATTGGAACTATTAATGTCTACCCTGACTCTCAACCTCCAACTTGCAATTACACAATTGGAACACTTTGTTTTAATTGATTTAATAAATTGAAAACCATAAAAAAAAAAAAAAAAAAAAAAAAAAAAAAAAAAAAAAAAAAAAAAAAAAAAAAAAAAAAAAAAAAAAAAAAAAGCCTCTCCTTTCCAGTTTGGTAGTATTTTTCATCATCTCTGAAAACATGTATTCCACTGTAAGTCAGTTTCTTGATTATTCAACAGGGAGCTCAATTTTCTTTTTCTTTTTTTCATATTAAAACTTCAGAGCAATACTAATCTTTATTCGGTGAACTGTAATTAAATATAATACAATGTATTTTTTTAAGTACAGCTGTTAAAGGAAGTTTAATATTTTTACTCTAGCTATTATTGGTATAACTTAATCTGGAAATATCTTTGATCTTAAATAGCTATAAGTACGTATCCTAACAAGTAACAGCTCCAATTATTATTACAGGTGCGACCTAACTCTCTGTCTGATTCTTTATTATTTCCTCTTTGGAATATTATTTTTAAATGTCACTTATCACATATATTTGATCGAAGTAGTCTTCATTTTGTAAGAAAATGAACAGCTTTTTGTTGAATTCCAGAGGGCTTCTAAAGAATCTTCTCCATTGGATTCTTGTTTTATGCATAAGCTCTAGCTTACAATCATCCACAATGGCAGCTGCTACAGATAACCATGGAAATGTCACTGACAGACTCGCTTTACTCGACTTCAAGAACCTAATAACTGAAGATCCTCTTCATATCATGAGTTCTTGGAATGATTCAGTCCATTTCTGCAATTGGTTTGGAGTTTCTTGCAACACTTCAAATGACAGAGTGATATCTTTGAAGTTAGAAACTAAAAAATTAGCAGGCTCGATACCGCCTTCTATAGGGAATCTCACATTCCTTACAGCGATCAGTTTATTTGACAACATCTTTTCTGGTGATCTTCCTCAAGAAATGGGGCGTTTATGGCGGTTGCAGATTTTAAACTTGACTTACAATTCCTTTAGTGGGAAAATTCCATCTAATCTCACTCATTGTAAAGAACTTACGGTATTTGAAGCATCAGGCAACAATTTTATAGGAGAGATTCCAATACAGCTTAACGTATTATCTAAATTGGTTGTTCTTGGTCTTGGAAGAAACAACTTGACAGGAACAATTCCAACTTGGATAGGGAACTTTTCTTCTCTATTTGCTCTAGTACTTGCAGTAAACAATTTTCATGGAAAGATTCCTGATGAGATTGGCCGGTGTTCAGGATTAGGGTTTTTTCAACTTTATGGAAATTATCTTTCTGGTATAGTCCCTTCTTCAATTTACAATATTTCTTCTATTTACTTTTTCTCTGTTGCTTCAAACATGCTTCATGGGCAATTACCACAAGATGTTGGCTCGAAATTTCCTAGTCTTCAAATATTTGCTGGTGGTGCTAACAATTTTACAGGAACTATTCCTATTTCATTGCCAAATGCTTCTAATCTTCAGGTTATTGATTTTGCTCAAAATGGTCTAGTTGGGAAGATCCCCAGTTCTTTACAAATGTTGCAGAGGTTAGTTAGACTTAATTTTGATGGTAACAATTTGGGATATGGAGAAATTGATGACTTGAATTTTTTTAGTTCTTTATCTAATTGCACTAATTTAGAAGTGTTGGGTTTGGGAAGAAATCATTTTGGAGGTGAATTGCCTAGCTCCATAGCCAATCTTTCTCAGCAGTTACAAATTTTTACTTTAGGAGAGAATTTGATTCGTGGAAATATCCCTATTGGGATTGCAAACCTAATTAACTTGGACACACTTGGATTGGAAGGCAACAAGTTAAGTGGAAATTTACCTACTGTAATTGGGAAACTGCAGAAATTACAGGGTTTGGATTTGAATTCTAACAGACTGTCTGGATCAATCCCATCTTCCATAGGCAACTTGACTAGACTGGCATGGCTTTTCATGGAGGAAAATAGATTTGAAGGAAGCATACCTAAAAGTTTAGGGAAATGTCAAAATCTTCAAAAGCTAAACTTGTCAAGTAATAATCTTAATGGAAGCATACCCAAAGAAGTCATTGGTCTTTCTTCCTTGTCAATATCATTGGTCTTGTCTAATAATTTCTTGATTGGTTCCATACCAATAGAAGTAGGTAATTTACATAATGTCATGGAGTTGGATTTGTCAGAGAACAAATTGTCTGGTGAAATTCCTAGCTCTCTTGGAAGTTGCACAAGCTTGGAACACCTCCGTTTGAGGAGAAATAAATTTGGAGGAAAAATTCCTGATTCTTTGAGAAATTTAAGAGGTATAGTTGAACTTGATCTATCCTGCAACAACTTCTCAGGAAAGGTTCCTGAATTTCTTAGCAAGTTATTGTCTCTCAAGAATCTCAATCTATCTTACAATGACTTTGATGGCAAGTTGTCAACAGAAGGTGTATTTGCAAATGCAAGTGCCATTTCTGTAATTGGAAATGATAGGCTCTGTGGTGGTATTCCTAATTTACTTTTGCCTAAATGCTCAAAAGAACAGAGAGGAAAACGAGTTACCCTACAAGTGGTAATCTTTTCAACAATCGCAGCAATCTTTGCCTTCCTTGTATTATGTTTTGCTTCTATGTTCTGCATGGTGAGAAATTCGAGAAAGAAACGTTTAGCTTCACCTCCTATAGAGGAATGGCAAGTTGGTATGTCTTATTCAGAAGTTATAAAATCAACTGATGGCTTCTCTGCTGAAAATTTTATAGGTTCAGGAAGTTTTGGTTCTGTATATAAAGGAGTTTTATCTGGTGATGGAGAAATTGTTGCTATTAAGGTTTTAAACCTTCAACAAGAAGGAGCTTCGAGGAGTTTCATTGATGAATGCAATGCTTTGCGAAGCATAAGGCACCGAAATCTTCTCAGAATCATCACCATTTGCTCAACTATTGACCATCAAGGCAATGATTTTAAAGCGCTTGTTTTTGAGTTTATGCCTAAGGGAAGTTTGGATGAGTGGTTGCATTCCAGAGGAGATGAACAAGCTAGAACAAAGAGATTGAGCTTTATTCAAAGATTGAATATAGCAATTGATGTTGCTTCTGCACTGGATTATCTGCATCACCAGTGTGAAACTACAATCGTTCACTGTGATCTAAAGCCAAGCAATATACTTCTCGATGAAGATATGACAGCTCATGTTGGAGATTTTGGATTGGCGAGGTTTCTACTTGAAGCATCAAAAAACCCCTTCAAATTTGAAGCAATTTCAGTTAGCTTAAAGGGTTCAATTGGCTACATTGCTCCAGGTATTTTTATCTTTTAAGTCCTAATCATAAAAGTTTTAGAACAGTAAACATTATATTTTTTCTGAAATGGGGTGCTTTGGAAAAAGCATTTTCAGACCTCATTATCGATCAGATTTTTAGTTTCTAAATATAAACTACATATGAATTATATAATATCACCCGCATGTTATTGTACTGCAGAGTATGGATTAGCTGGAGAGGTCTCTGTGCTTGGAGATGTTTACAGTTATGGAATACTATTGCTGGAGATGTTTACAGGAAAGAGGCCTACCGATGACATGTTCAAAGATGGTCTAAGCATTGACAAGTTTGTGGAAATGGCTTTGCCAGGACATGCCATGGATGTTATTGACCCAACAATGCTTGTCGAAGAAGAAGATGATGACGATGAGACAAATGAAGATGGCAGAGACGAAAAGGCAATAATTAAAGACATTGATGCGCAGAACAGTACAATTAAAATAGAGGAATGTCTGACCTCAACACTCAGAATTGGACTCGCATGTTCTTCGACATCTCCTACAGAGCGAATGGCTATGAACTTTGTTGTCCATAAATTGCATGATATTAGAAATTCATTTCTTGGATCCAAGAGAAAAAGCAGAAAGATGATGAGATAAATGTTAACCAGACACATCTCTGGTTTGACATCTGCTGTATACAGCTGCTGTATAATACTCTAAATAATTGAAATTTTTCCTTCCTTCTTCCAACATTATCACAATTAAAAGCTACCTGGTGCTGCATAAACTGTAGTTCCCTTTAGTACAATAGAACTACTTTGATTTGGATGAGACCAAGTCATAATTAAAAATTGACTATATAATATAATTGTATTTTCAACGAAAAAGGGCTCATTTTGGCCATTCAACTTGGTCCCCCGAAATCAATTCACCCATATTTTAATTTTAAAGCCAAATTTCTCTATTAGCTAGCTTATTATAGCCAAATAGCTCAGACATTCAGCTAGTCAGAGCGCGTGTAATATAATCAAAACCCAAATAGAGTGAGAGAACAAATTCAAAGCTGAATCTTAATACCAATGATTCAGTTATCAAGTATTATCGTTGGGAGGGAAAAATAAGCCGAGCTACCTCCTTTTGTAATATGAAGTTTGCACATGCAGAGCAACGAAGGAGCAGTGTCTTTCAATTGAGATAAAAATCAAATTGGGGAAAAAATAAATTTTTCTTTGATATTTAAAAGCAAAACCGAAATTGACAGTGATTCTTTTCAATATCGAAGGTAAGTAGTTTCTTTGTTTTATTTCTTTGTTAACGAAAAGTAACTAAAAAAACGTTTTTTTGTTTCTTTGTAACTAAAAGAACTCAACAAAATTGTTTATTTGTTTGTTTGTGGTGTGATGGACATTGTTTCATTGGATTGTTTTATGTCTCATGTACTGTAGCCCATATTTTATGCTTTGATATCGATCTTCCTAGTGCTAACTGAAGAGTTGTTCTTTGTACTCTTTGCTGGTTTTTTTTTTTTTTTTTTTTATTTGTTCTTTGTTTGTTTTTTTTTTTTTTTTTGTAAAATCTTTTAAGTTTGTGATACACGGACACGCTTGCAGGTTATAGTATAACAAGGCTTCTGATAGAGCTATACTTCTGATTCTTTAATCCGTGTGTTGGTAGAGGTTGTTATTTAACCTTGTAGGCTCTGAACAGTACTCTTTGCTATTTCTTTTATATTGTATGCTTTAATATTGATCTTCCTAGTGATAAATGAAGAATTGTTCCCTGTACTCCTTGCTAGTTTGTTTTGTAAAGCCTTTTAAGATTGTGATACATATACCCACTTGCGAGTAAGGGTGTAATAAGGCTTCAAACCACATATGCAGTATCGAGTCACTCCCTCATAATCATACTCTAAATGAAAACCTCCATTACTGCGAATGTTAGATGAGCTTGAATATCGACCTCCAGAAACTGAGCTTCCTTGATCTCTTATCCTCATTCTCTCGTTGATTAAGGATTTCCGTTGATTAAGGATCTTTTAGTTAGTGGTTAGTTTCTAAACTTTAGGGATTTTGAAAAAACCCAAAGTAGCATTTGAACTATAGTTACGTTTAAAAGATGTGTTATCTTTAAAAATAATTATTTTTTTTTAAAAAAAATAAATTTGACCGCCGTATGAATCATGCTTCATGTGACCAAGTTGAATGTCATTGAACAAGCTATTTGGACTGTAATATGCTTAATTAATGGAAAAATTTTGGCTTAAAAGTTAAAAATATGGAGGTCATTTTGATTTTGGGACAAGTTGAAGGACCAATAATGAGCCTTTCCTATTTGTCAACAGCTAAGTTCACTAATTATATATGATTTATTAATCACCAATGCCGTTATTTACGCTTGCTAAGAAATAATGTAATGCATTTTATTAGTTTAGGTAGTTGGGAGCCACAGAATGAGCTTTGCTTTTGGTGCCTCCCCTGGTTAAGCATTTGAGCTCTCAATTATATATTTTTTGCCTTAATTCAACATGTTATCCCAGCTCATGAAGCTAGAACTAATTCATGCTTGCACCAGAGCCACCCATTTAAAGTAAAATAGTAATATTTTTAAATCCAGTAGATAATTGGTTTAAATTATTTTTGGAAGGTAAAATATTGCTATTCTAATAAATTGCATTTGGAGAACCAAACAGTTTTATCTTTCCCACCGTTCGACTAAAACCAGTCCTATAATCATAGGGAACTTTTCAACAAAGGATTAAAAAGAAAAAAGCACCATTATAATAAATGTCATGTTTTAAAATTTTGGCTTATAAAAAATGTCCACTTTTGATTTAAAATATTAAAATAATATCATTTTCATTATTCATTTATATTTATATTTTATTGCGACCTTTATTTATCAGTCGCTCTCACTTTTACTGCCGCCATCGTTTTTATACATCACCTTGTCACTGTCGCTATTACTTTTGCCGCTTTATCGCTATTTTATTGCTTTTCGCTGTGCAGGATCAGTCTGTGGTTGATTTACAAAAGTTTTTTTTTTTAAATTACTTTTGATATTACTTAAATTCTTTTGAACAAAAATTATATTATTGTTTAATTTTTAAATATTTTTTGAAATTTATTTAATTTGAATCTTTATTCTAAACGTTTGCTTGAGTATCCTTTAAAAAAAAAAAAAAAAAAAAAAAACAAACAAACCTAAGTTCATTTAAAAGCCCAAAAGCCCTCAATTCTGCTGTATGGAAGCATATCTCGTGTCGTGGATGACCTCAAATTTTATAATCGGGCAACTTAACCAAATGTCGGACTTTTATTTTTGGAAAAGGAAAAAAAAGTAATAATAAATTCGACCACCAGGGAGAAGAAACATTTGGTGGAGTTTGGACAACCCAAAAGCAAGAAACAAAAGGCTAGGGAATTAGGAATTGAAGCAGTTGTTATTAAACTCACAGTTTATATCATAAAAAATTTAGGAATGAGCCTTAATCGTTAAGCTTTGGGCTGATTAAAATTAATTCTTTTTGAATTCATTCCAATAAATTTATCAGGTTAACAGCTATTGGTTCAAACTCGTTCACCTACAACTTTAAAAACCTTTAATGAAATCCAACTCGAACTCAACAGGTCAACTAAGCTGACTCAGTACAACTCAGAGACCTAGTGCCTGCCTAACATTGCAAATATCATCTTCTTTGGCCCAGCGTCCTTCGAGAAATACTACTATAGTTTAGGTTTGGATTCTCAAGTTGACTCCAAACCCAAAAGGTTCTTTTTATATATATATATTAATAAAAGATGTCACACGTGTTCATCGCGCCATGTTGATTTAGATACTTCATTTATCCGCTCAAGAACCGGTCACCGTCAATTAAATAAAGCACACAACCTGCATAAATTTAAATTGTTCTTTAAAAATTAAAAAATAAAATGATAATCACCACAACAAGATGCCTAACGCCAACCAATAGGAAAAATACACACGAAACAAACTTGTTCTTTTTCTTGCATTTCTGCAAATAATAATCAGTCACCATCGCTCTCTCTTCCTTTGTTCTGCTACTCGGCGAGAGTCAGTGATGAAAGCCATAACGAGCATTTCCTCCTCTTTGGTCCAAGATTGTTAAGAGAGAAATGGAGACAGATGTTATTGTTATTGGAGAGGAGTTAATTCCAATTAGATATGCCCAAAAATGGATTTTTCGCCATTCAAGAAGCTTTGATTTGCCTTAGACAAAAGGGTCTCCGTTTCCGTGATTTATGACTTCTTCTTTTCTCAACAAAGTCCCAGCAGGGCATGCCATTCTTTTACTGAGCTCTTTTTTTTTTCTCTTTCAAGGTCCAACCTTTTTTTGATTTCTTTTCTATGTAGACGGATTTGAGACAGTGGAAACCCAAACAAGGAAAACCAGGTAATCCTTGCCTTTTGCCTTTCTCTTCAGTTCTTTAGGAATTAAAATTGAAGTTTTAATATGCAGATCAATCAAAGGAACAGTTCATGTGAAAGGTGGCAACTGAAAAAAAGAGTGTTTCGTTTTGGTGAGCATGGCAAATGGTAGGATATCCAATTTTTGGTGTGTGGGACCCTGAAAATGCCAAATACCATTGAACTGGTCTGATGGCCATGTTTGGACTTTGATGCTTGTAAGCAGATCACTAACAACTTTTTTTGAATTTGATTATTAGGTTCCTAATCTTGATAACGCCTTCTGTTTCTATTTTTAGGATATACCCATTGGGAAAACTTCGAGTTCAAGTTATCTACTAAAACAAATTTACTGGCGAGTTTTTATGGCAACCAGGACCGGATCGAATTCTCAAAAACTTGCGAGACTTAAGAATACTTATTGTTCTATTGGAAGATTGGAAGGATTATGCATTACAGGAAATTACTAGAGGACGAGCCAAATTACAAGTGGAAAAATGAAGATCCTATTTTTCGGCAACAGAAATGGCTTATTGTTGCTGAAGAACGACTCAAGAAATGATGTTTGATTCTACACAGGAAAGCGAAATCAACTTACAAGGGAAAAACAACAAATTGCTGATAATAATTCCTCCTTGGAAATAAGCACATAGCTCTGCCCATTTTGCAGATAATATCGCTTCTCAAAGGGACGGAATCTGCTGGAGGTGAAAGTTATCAATTGCCAGCGTTTGAAAAAATGAAAAGGAGGCTATTGGAAAACAATGGAAGAGTTCCATTGGTTTACTAGTAATGAAAATGAACCAGTTCTGGTACCTGGAATTACCTCCCTTATCTATGGTTTCAAAGATCATTGATTCAAGGGAGGAGCTCAGAAAAGTAGAGAATTTGAGCATCAGTAGGAGTGATTTCAAGTAAGAATCACAATTTACAGAGGTAACTGCTATTTGCATTCCCTTAAATTTATTTTTGCTTTTCCTTCAATTTTCCCAAGTCAGAATCCATACCAGCTGAAAAAATTTTCTCTCACACAATTGTTATTAGTCTTGTACATTGGACTGATGCCTAATAATTCAGTTAGATGACGAGTTGTGAAATTGATGGCAATCCCACATGAAGCAGAGAAATGACTCAAGTGAGGCCTTGATAATATCAGGGTTAGATGACAAAGTGTGAAAATTGCGATGGCAATCCACACGCAGCAGAAACGACTCAAAGTGAGGCCTGATAAGATTCAGTTAGATGAGGAAGAGTGAAAATTGTTGAAGTCCACATGGAAGAAGAATGAGATGTTTTTAAAAGAAACAGCAGATTCACCATGGGGCGTCGGAGCAAAACCCATGCGGGCTAACAACCAGAAGCAGGCAAATAGAAAATGGTGCTTTGCGAAATGACCTTCAATGGGGTCGTAAAACAATAAAAAGGCTGCTAGTTTAATTAGGATTTCTGTAGCATTGTACAGTGGTTTGCAACTCATCCGTGATATTTTGAATGTAGCAATTTCTTTTAAAAGATTGTTGCCCAGTTTTTGGTGTTTCCTTATGGTTGCCTATGTTATTATACAATGAGAGAATTTTAAGTTGCGATATATGTGGGAGTTGAGATTTGGAATTGTTCAATTGTATGAGCCGTTCCAATAGAAATTTCTGTGCTTTACCTATAAAATGCTTATTCTTAGTCCAATTAAAGGAATAGCCCCAATCCCCAAACTAGTTACGATACTTTTTGTTGGTATTTGGGGAGATGGGAGATCTGAGGCCAGGATAAAGGAAAAGTCGTTTATTTCTTTAGCAAAAGCATAAGTGGATAGAAATAGAAATTTCTTCAAAAAAAAAAAATGTGCAGAAATAGGATCCCAAAATAAAATTAAAATTAGAAAGATATTACCTCTAGAGCCATGTCAAAATTTAATGCAGTAATTGCAGATACCAGGAGGCAAGTGGCCAGAACTGATTAGGAGGAGGTTGGACAATCGATGACTTATCTCCATTGCATTTATCCATCCTTGAATTAGTTTTATAATGTTCCCCCCCGATCTGGTAAAGAAGGACATGTAATCAGGTCTTATAATTGAAAATGGCCAATTGTGTATTGAATATTGGAGATTGTAAAAATTGAGGGTTGCCCTAAATCAAGGCCAAGAAAACAAACGGCGTACGTTGGGGTAACTGACATTGTTTACTATTCAATGCAGGGCAAATATACTGGAAAGTGGAAGCAATGAACCCAATCCCGGACCACTCCTGGCCGTATGCTGCAGTACCTGCATCATGCTTAGAAATTGGAAGAGCCCGCAGCAAAATAAAATAAATAAATTAAGGTAAAGGTCTGGACAATTTCCCACAAACTTTGGCCGTGCCCGTGTGGGCTCCCCAAATCTTCACTTCAAGCTCTAATACAGCTCGAGATGCCACGCTAATGGGCCAGGAATATTAAGTAAATAACTTTAATCTTAGCAAGCGATCAAATTTACAGTATTGTTTACCGAACTTCGGGGAAAAAGTTAATTTTTACGTTCTATTGTCAAAATATGTCAACACAAGAGATTTATAATTACCATGCTCTACGGTTATACTGGCGACGACCCAGGAAAAAAGCAAACCACAAGAAAATATTGTAAACATGTAGATTGACGAAGAAACTAAAGGCTTCAAGGAAAAACCATATAATAATTTAGTACACTTTGGAAGGACAAAGCTCGCCCCCCCATCTAATTAAGTGAACCAGAAAGATGGAGGACGAAATGAAAAATGAAAAAAAAATAATTTTCTAACCGAAAAAAAAAAAAGGTACAAATCTTTTCAGAAAGATGAAACAAAAATGAACAAGGGAAGAAGATATCTGCCTCGATCACTGCTAAAATCTGCATGATACAATTACGCAGAATTGAGTTGATTAATCCTTCGAAAAAACCTTCTGTTGTCATCACTTACATCTTTATATAAGCTTCATGAAACATGATGCCCTTTCTTTCTGTGCCGCGAAAAATGGTCTTGTACTTTAGTGTAGAACCTCGCATAGTTCTTCTTCGTCTTTACTTGGAATCGATTGCGGCCAATTCTGAATAAAATAAAAAGTAACATGTTTGTGTAAGAAATTAACCATGATTAATATTACATTGAATTGGTGGGGCCCCAGTTAAAAACTATATGGGAAGGCAACATGCTCAGAAGTACTTCCAGGGACCAATTAGACCAAAATTCATCGCAATAAAAATTATGCAATGTGCTTCATTACTGAATAAATCCAAAGATAAGCCCAAACAATATAACCATGAGATAATTAGTTGCACCACAACGAACCAAAACAAAAAGGTGGACAAATAAAGTGCACAACAATCTCATATCCAAAGAAATTCAAACAATGTATCTAAAAGAAAATCTAAATGAAGGCTCAAAATGTAAATACTGTCATAAACCAATATGCAAGAAGCAACTCACCCTTCTATTTCCTTTTGCTTGACAGCACATGAAGCAAAATCGAATTAATTTCCAGCTTGGATGATACAATGGTTCAAGGCTTATAATGACATCCCAGTAAAGCACATACCAGCTATGATCCACCAATATGCCACATTGCATACATGGGTACTCTATATCAGTTACGCCAGGCCTGCCTTGGGATCTCACCTAACAGCTAAAGTTTAGGGGTGAGTTCTCCTTTAGGTATTAAAATTGGTATTAGGGAACTGGCTCAAGTCCACACGGTCAACATTTGGAAAAGGGTTCACATTCTCTCCTAAGGTTAAGCATAGCTCAGGAGCCTACAAAATCCTTCAAATACAAGGACAGAGAAACCCTCTTGAGCACAGGCATAGAGAAGAAAATGTGTATAGATGTCAGATCTGAAAAACCTATGCAGCCACATATTTTCACATGGCAAAACTAATTAAGAATAAAAAACATCAAGAAGGATTTGCTTAGAATTCCTTCAAATAAGACAGAAAGGATGGTTGCAATTGTGTTGGCAATTAAATGAACTTTCTTTGGTCTTCAGAAGACCCAAATATATGAGCCCATCGCACAAAAGCTCACAACAGAAGGACCAAAATTCCCAAGTAAATCACAACATCAAGGTTTGGTTTGAGTCAAAAAATAAAAACAAAGCATAATTTAGAAAGTTGTAAGAACCTTGCGGATTCAGACACGTTTTTTAAAAAGCAAGGCAGGAAACACTCGAGTAATTTAGAGACTTTAGAAGCCCAAAAAGAAAAAGAAAACTTCTTTTATGTTACCTTAGGAAAGAGTTGGCACGCTTCTGCTGCTGCTGATTCACAAAATTTAGATGAAGGTGATCCCAGGTTCAACTTCAGTAGTCCCTGTAAATGATTTTTTCAAATCAAATAGATTAAATCTGCATTCCAGACGTACTTATAGCATGATAGATACTCCTATCGGATTTTACAGATCTATAATAGACTGTGTTTATCCAATTATTCCAAAATTGCAAATGTTTAATATGAGTCCTCAGGTTTAGCCAAATTCAAGAAGAAAATATTTTCACTTTCTTGGAGAGAGCTATTTTCAAAACCAACTTTAAATTTGCATGTATTGAACACAAGTATGAGTAAATCAAACTATTAAAAAAAAATAACAATTAATAAACAATTTTGCTGATACAACATGGGATACTTGGATAATGGGTAGAAACTAGGGTCTGACCACCCAAGTCCTTACCTTTTAAACAGGGAATAATTGGAGCCTGCATAAGACAGCAATAGCAGACATGCGAAGCCAGCCCACTGCCCTTCACGCTGTTTTTAGCGCCCCACATCTTGGTGCATTTGCTAATCCAAAAAAGGAGTGGTTTTCTTCCCAGATAACCACTATACCTCGTCTGGAGTTTTCTATGCCTTACATACCCTTTATCCAAGCATCACCTCTGTTTTGAAGCAAAATAAATCAAATCAACTACTGAGAGGATCATCAAAAAAACCCCCACCTTCAGATGTACGTTCTTTAGGTAAACCATCTTCTGGCTCCACTTCACTTGATCCAGGATAACAAATGTCGCGACAGAAATCCATTCTCTTTTCCAAGAGACGCTTATCAAAATCATGTCCACAGCTCCAGACTGAGGTTGATGTATTGCAACATATTTTTCTGCGAACAAAAATTACATTCAGCACTAGATACATCATTGACTGTGAACTGAAATCAACCAGAAGAAGAACTAGAAAGGTAAAAAGGGCATTTACAGCTAATGCATGTAAACTCAGAAATATCTCATAAAAGGACCACTAAAATACACATTAAACAACCTATCACCACACAACCCGTCAAAACATTTGATGAATTACATCTTACAGTTTACAGGAAATAATGGCTTAACAAGGAAAACCGTGTTTAAAAAAAAAAATGAATCGACTAATTAACATACCTGCCAAGCTGTGAAGGGCATTCTCAGAGCTTGGCTGAATGTGCATCCTTCTTGTCTACCATCCCAACACTAATCTTCTCACCAGTGAACAAAACCTAATTAATTAATCAATAAAATGAAGGTTTTTTGGATCCAAAAAAAGTCATGATAAGTATAGCTACAGGCGCAAAGAGCGAGAAGAGAAACAATAAAAGTGAATACTACATCTTTTCAGGAGCCTCTACGGAGAGAAATAAACAGTGGGAGGGAAAAAAACACTTGTTCTGCAGAAAACACATCCTCCAAAAATTTAAAATATTAATCAAAAATTTTATGATCCTTTCACATCTACATATCACAATCATTCCAAAACATAGAAATATTAAAAGAAAACAGGGTCTATTTTTATTGTTTATTTTTTTTGCCACACCCCACTTTGATTCTGCAATAACCAAAAAAAAATAGTTTATGGAACAAACAAAGGAAAAATAACCAAATGGCAAAAAGAACTATATTACGCTAATATATTTCAAGTATTATTCTCATTCCAATTACAGAAGTGAAAAATTTTGTCTACAATGAACCTTGATGCGAAGGCTCGATGGACATAATTATCAACAGTAGAACAATAACATGGATTAAATTTACTGTAGCACAAAAACATGAAATCAGATGTTCATAAGTTTCCAGTACTGCCTATCATAAATTATAAAGAGGTTAGTTACACTTCAAGAAAAAAAACAAGATTTAAGATGTATAAAAACCGCGCCAAACCAAAACAAGACATTGAAAATTTTTTGTGTTTCAACAAACACTTCGAGTTACCAAAAAAACTATGATGGATTTACCCATTTTACTTTCATTTAAAAAAAAAAACAGTGGGACGTTTAAAAGCAGGAAAAATGTGAAAGTAGGCAGCGCAAAACCACTTTCTTAAACTGGACCCTTCAAAACCCAAAAAGAAAAAAATTTGGGCAAAATTCCTTTTTAAAACTTTGGTGCTCACAAAAAAAAACAGAAATCTGAAAACATCTCTCTCT